TACTCACCTACATAGGATTGTGGGAAACAGTCTTATACTGCTTCAGACCACTGGTCCATCTAGCTCAGTGTGGTGTACAGAGCCAGTGTGGTGTACTGGTTAAGAGCGGTAGATTCGTAATCTGGTGAACTGGGTTCGCATCTCCACTCCTCCATCTGCAGCTGCTGGGTGACCTTGAGCCAGTCACACTTCTTTGAAGTCTCTCAGCCCCACTCACCTCACAGAGTGTTTGTTGTGGGGCAGGAAGGGGAAGGAGAATGTTAGCTGCTTTGAGACTCCTTAGGGTAGTGATAAAGCGGGATATCAAATCCAAACCCTTCTTCTTCTTCTCCTCCTCAGTGTTGTCTACACTGACTGGCAGTAACTCTCCAGGGTTTGAGGTAAGAGTTCTTCCTAGCCCTGTGTGGAGATGTCAGAAACTGAACCTGGAACCTTCTGTATGCAAAGCAGATACTGTACTACTGAGATACAGCCCTTCTCCCCTGAGCACAGGTAACGTTGCTGATGGCCGCTCAGAACTGGACACGATCCTGAGCTGTGTCTCAGAAGCACACAAGTTTTCACAATAACAGTTTGCGTATACCATTCAGTCAATACATTTTGATATGGAAAATGGGGGAAGCCACCTCCCATGTTATTAAACAAATATATCTTCTTAGCCGTATTGCAAGCTTTTGTAAACATCTGGAGAAAGAACAACAGAATGTGGGTTCTGCCAAGATTAGTTTCCTGTGCTGGAGGCAGGAGATAGGACTCATCTGTTAACAAGCAAAAATCTGTCTCATATTGGTAACGCTAATTGTAAACACATTACCTGAATCCTAGAGCACCCGTTGGTGTAAGCTAGAAGTAGCCTTACTCCTATTAGTAGACTAAATCAGCGTAAAATCTGCATTACAGAAGAACTAGTGCCATACATCCAAATCTCACTGTTGCAGAAGATTAAAAACACATTTTGACTGTCACAAAAGTATTCCCAGACCACATTCTGCAATAATTTATTAAAGGCTGAAGTGGAACAGTTGATTTCTCAACTTTGTTACTGATTTCTTGTCATACAAACAACCCTTGATACACTTCTGCATTTCTTCATCTTGGCATTGCTGTAAGCCCAGATTTCATATGCTCTGTCATCAGGATTAAGCTTTACCATGTGTGTTTGCAATGCTTTCCTATTGCATAGTCACAACAAAATGCAGTCACAGCTTGAGGTTGCATGCAGCAAAGTCATATGTATTTTTACTCAGAAGTAAGAACAACGTCAGTCAGTGGGAATCACTCCCAAGCAAATGTGCCTAAGATTGCAGTCTTGTGCTGCTTTGCATCTGAACATTATAAATAGATATTTGAGGATATATCCTGCCTTTCAATCTAAAGATCCTCCAGGTAGCTTACAACATATAGCCAAAACAAAATCCAGTATATACACATCTTGGCCATTGACCTGAGAAGGAGTGAATGTAGGGAGATTGCTTTCCCTCTACCTGTCAGAGAGATGTTTTCTCAGCTCAAATGTTTCAGGGCCTAGGGGTGGGTAAATCCATCAATTTTAGATTCTTATTTTTCAAATCTCGAAGTCATAACCACATTTTCCCAGTTTCTGATTTTTAAAAAGTCTGCATGAAAATTCATCAGTGCAAATTTTTCCTAGTATGTTGGTTTCTCCTAACATACACATTTTTGCAAATCTTTTTTGATATTAGAGTGCAAATAGCAGTGTGCATGTACACGAAAGCTCATACCAATAACTAACTTACTTGGTCTCTAAGGTGCTACTGGAAGGAATTTTTTACTGAGAAGTATATATGCTGAGAAAATTATATAGTCCAACCCCCTTCGATGCAAGAATATTTCACCCATCATGGGGCTCAAACGCACAACTCTGAGAATAAGAGCCTCATGCTATACTGACTGAACTATCTATTATCTATGTTTTTCATTGTTTACATTCACCATGATTTTCTGAAGCACTAATACGACCAATTCATAAAATAAAGGTGGTAAGATTGGCCTATAAAATGCCAGATTTCCTCCATAATATATAACATTTTTAGTTCCAGTTAAGAATGGCATTCATATAACTGTTTACTTCCACAAATATTCAGGTAGTGAATCATCATTGGCTGCAGCTGTAATGTGCATTTTCTGTCATGTTGGATTCTAAGCAGAAGGTTATTTGGCCGATTAGTCGGGAAAAATTCTTAGAAAGATATCATCTGGAGTGTGAATAAGTATGGTCCAACTCATTTGATGGATTTTGAGCTGCTGAATCCAAACACTGAGTCTAATTTGCTGTCTTTTCTTAGCAAACGGTTTATAAATATTGCAGAGAGAGAAAAAAAGACAATTGTCACATGCCTTCAGAAGGCATAGGAAACATCTCATTTCACAGATTTTGGGTGCTAAATATGAATGATTATGTTATCAGACATTGGATGCTACTTTTTGTTTAAAATGCCTAGTGTTGTCTAGTATTGATGCAGAGACAGCAACTGTCAATCCCATACGCTTGTACCATCATATCCAATTTTATTTGATTGCTGTATGTGTTGAATTTGAATAAATTTGCATATTATTTTTTTTTTAAACTCACAATTGTAGCTCAGCTTTGCATGTCTCAGCTTGGCAGATTTGCTTTCGAACTTGAACTTTTAAACACCTTGCAACTGAAACGGGTGGGTTTTCTCTCTCCATTTTTGAAAAGCTGTAGAATAGTGTTATGCGTTTGCAAAGGAGGCAAGTATCCCATAATGTTCCTGCAAGCTCCTTATGCAGCCACACCAGTTTCTCTAGTCTTCTCCCACTTTTCTTTTTTGGTGGAATTGTCTGAACTTCATAAGCTGCTAAATAATGAAAACTATGTTACTTTGTGTGTCTCTTTATTTCTACTGCTGGCCAGGAAATTAAGAACTAAATTTGTGGCTCAACTCTGAAAGTTGTTGTTATTGTCCTACAGCTTTTAGCTAGACAAAACCGAACAATCTTCCTATATGTATGTGCATGTGTTCATGTGTATAGATAGACACAGACTTACAGCCCCCTCTATATTCATTAATATCCATTGGAATATTCATATGCCGAAGTTCAAACAAAACCATTTGTTTTGTTTTTTCTAGGCATATATTTCTTAAAATGAAAATTTGATCTGCTAGAACAGGCATAGGCAAACTCAGCCCTCCAGATGTTTTGGGACTACAACTCCCATCACCCTAGCTAACAGAACCAGTGGTCAGGGATGATGGGAGTTGTAGTCCCAAAACATCTGTAGCAGGGGTAGGCAACCTAAGGCCCGTGGGCCGGATGCAGGCCAATCGCCTTCTCAATCCGGCCTGCGGACGGTCCGGGAATCAGCGTGTTTTTACATGAGTAGAATGTTTCTTTTTATTTAAAATGCATCTCTGGGTTATTTGTGGGGCCTGCCTGGTGTTTTTACATGAGTAGAATGTGTGCTTTTATTTAAAATGCATCTCTGGGTTATCTGTGGGGAATAGGAATTCGTTCATTATTTTTTTCCTAAATATAGTCTGGCCCACCACATGGTCTGAGGGACAGTGGACTGACCCACAGCTGAAAAAGGTTCCTGACCCCTGATGAGGGCCAAGTTTGCCTATGCCTGTGCTAGAAAACCGCTAGATGCAACTCTAAATTCCCCCTATCAAATTACAATTATTCTTTATTAAAACAGTTACAGTGGTACCTCTAGTTACGAACTTAATTCAAGAGGTCCCTTCTTAACCTGAAACTGTTCTTAACTAGAAGTGTGCATTTGCCCCTAATGGGGCCCCTTGCTGCCGCTGCGCCGCCAGCACACGATTTCTGTTTTCATCCTGTGGCAGAGTTCTCAACTCAAAGTATCTCTTCCAGGTTAGTGGAGTTTGTAACCTGAAGCGTTTGTAACCTGAGGCGTTTGTAACTCGAGGTACCACTGTACTTAACAAGCAATGCAGAAGTGCCTGATGTGAACAAGAGGTAGCCTGACACAATTACTGTCCTTTTCTTAGTCATGAAGACTGACTACAGAGCATGCAAGGAGCACCTTGTAGTTTGCCTGTTCAAACGTATCACCAGCTACCTGCCTACCCACCTGACTCCCCATCCACTCCCCCTTGCTTCCACCACCCTTCCTACCCAATGAAAGAAGGGACTGCTAGTGTTTTTAAGCACACACAAAAATCCCCACTCGTCTTCAGGAACAGCAGTGCCTCTTCACTTTTTTGGCAGAGCTAACAGAGCTGCTGAGTCCTAAAGAAAGCAAAATAGATTCTATGGAGCAGCCCGGCAGAGGCGGTGACTGATTCACTGTGGTATATTTTTGTCTGTATGTGTCAGGCGGCAGTGGTTCTACAACTCCCCCCCGCCCCGCAGGTCACCAGGAACGGATAAGAAAAGGAAAAGTTCTTACCAACTGCTTTTCATTCAATATTCACAGAGAGAGGCTTGGAACGCCGCCTCTTGACATAACGGCTTTGCTCCGAGTGAGTCTCCACCCCCTCCCTCTCTCCTTTCATGTGTCATCACTATGGGTGCTGAAATGTGCCCTCTGCCTCTGAGATCTCTGCTGTCCTACTTTCAATGCCCGCCGGGTTCTGGGAGAGGGAGGTCCTAGAATGCTTTCTAAAGACATTGTGTCCATCAGATGGTGCTTCTTCTTCCTCCTCTCCCATTATTTCCCAGCTTTTCTGTTCATCTGCATCTGAGCTGTGATGTCCCTCAAACCCCTGTTGTAATTTTGAACTGTCTTCTTCTTCTCTGGAAGGGTCAGGCTAGGGAGGTGGTCTCCACCATTCTTCCTCTGCCCGGTCCCTAACATCATGTTATGCACATAAAACTTCCCAGGACTTCTTCAACTGTAGATCTTCTAGCTCCCTGGATACTTCTGACTGAATGAAAATGTCCGGCAATTATTATTTGTTCATGAAATTAAACCACAACTACTTATTCTCCTCTCTTTTTTTGAAGAAAGAACATCTTTATTTTATTAAAATTATGTGGTCGCAAATAACCAACCCGTTTACAAGAAAAGCATGCAGTCCCAACAGGCCTTTTTGGGATCACACGTAGTAGTGGGCTTGCACAGATAAAATTCACCCGCTGCCTACTTTCCCATCCCTATCGCCCAGGATGAGCATTTGATTGATAGAGGGAAATGTTTTAACAGAAGAATAAGTCCTTCAGTATTGCCACTTTGAACACAGTATGACAGAGTTATCCTTCTTTAATTCTGCATAAGAAGAACCCTGTTGGATCAGGCCAAAGGCCCGTTTATTCCAGCATCCTGTTCTCACAGTCACATGCCTGTGGGAAGCCTGCAAGCAACTATCTTTGAAAATGTGCACGTTTCTGAATTTTGTGACACAATTCTTCAAGCAAAAAGATGTGTACAAAATTGTATGTTAGAAGAAAGTGTGCAAAAATGCATGTTTTAATGAAAAGAACATTAAAATGCATCATATTTATGCACACGTGCACACACACACGAGTATATTGAGAGAAATGGGCACTAAAATGTAGACAATTTTTTCTGATGATTGAAAAACAATCACAAACTAATGTAGAAACGCAGCAAATTGAACTTCATACTGAAAAAATGAGAAACGTAGAAAAACTGAAATAGACAGATTTGTTCATCTCTCCTATTCCAATCAACGTTGTATCGATTGTCTGCAAAGAGGAAATAAAAGCAACAAATGTTGACACTGAAATCATCACTGGATCAAAAAGACCAGCTTTAGCTAGCATTAGCCAGCATGAAACACCCCAGATGGTATTGGGCTACAGCTTGCATTAGACTCAGCCAGCATGATGGAATAGTAGTCCAACAAAATCTTAAGGGCACCACATTTGCTACTTCTGCAGCAGTACATAAAAAATAACATTGCAGAGCAAATACAATAATGACATGTAGTGGCATACATTAAGGTATAACAGAAGATAGGCAGTCTACATACTGTGGTGTCATGTGGCAATGCTTTTATCTTAACAAATATTTCAGTGTTGGCGATTTCTGAAGAATAGCAACCTCAAATAGCTGATTATGATCAATATTCAGATTCAGCACTTCAGAAATCTATGCTATTAAACTGAGTCACAACAGCTTACATCTAAATAGACCTCAGTTCAGGTTTTCACCTGTCATAAATAGTTACCTTGGTGATTCATTTCAGTGGCTTATGCCTCAACAGAAAACCAAATGTTTGCTTATCATGAACTTCAATTGACTTGGACTGTGTACGTATGTAAACGTACTTTAAAATATACTCTGAAACTTCTGCACTGGGTTGTCAGGAACATTTATTATTTGTTTTCCTCAATTTTTTAATTAAAAACAGCCAGTATAACCATCACTCTGCACTGTTAAGGGACCCCCATTTTAATATGGTGGATTCCTTCCTTCCTTCCTTCCTTCCTTCCTTCCTTCCTTCCTTCCTTCCTTCCTTTCTTTCACAGTGTGTTCCTTCAACAGATTGCTAGGCCACTGAAAGGATCTTCTTGCATGCTCTCAGGCAAAGGGTTCATTCCACACACACACACCAGTGTAGTGACATGCTAGTACAGGCTGATAAATGATAGCAAACTCTTGATATACCTTTGATCAGTTACTGTGTGATAGCATTCATCCATTCCTGAGACTGGTGGAAAGACTTACTAGTGGGAACCACAACCCCTTATGATACTTCATACCTCCCATGGTTCAGTCTGGATCACTGGTACCTTTTGCAGAGGAACTGGTAGGGAAGGACTGTAGCTCAGTGGTAGTTGCACACAAAACATCCCAGGCTCAAGTCATGACATCTCCATGCAGGCCTAGGAAAGATTCCTCTATGAGAGTCTGGAGAAATACTACCAATTCGAAGGACTGCTTACAGGTATGAGGGAGCCCTGGGTAAGGTCTCCTTCACCCCACTCCAAACCTAGTTCCTCCTTTTGATGAACTCAGTGGTTAGGGGCAAGCATTGGTGGTAGACACAGAAAGACTGGGTGGAAGGATCTTCATGTCTGGCAACCCATTCACAAGCTACAAAGGTTGGTAGGGCATTCTGGTGAAGGGGAATGCCATTAGTTGTGAGGTGTCCCATTCATCAGTAATAACCTGTTGTTGCTGAAGATCCAATCAGACTGGAAGCATTGGTTCCTAATTCTGCCCTCACTCTGAGGGTGTCCATTTTGAAGCCAATGCAGGGGGAATTGGAAAGATGTAGAAAGAAGCAGTGTCTTCTATCTGGAAAAAGGATAGGAATTAAATGAATAATAATAATGGCAGAGAGAAAGAGAAATTAACTCAATTGATAGGAACGGTGAGTTCAGTAGCCTAAGTTCAGCCAGCAACATGGGTTTGAGCACGGTAGGAGGTATGGTTCATGCCATAAATTGCCTTAAATTCACTTTTGAAGTGACCAGTGGGTTTTACAAAGAGATGCCCAATTTGACTTACATCAAAAATTTGAGCTTCCTTAGTTCTGAAGTTCAAAAATAAATCTGTCCAAAAGATTGATCAGTTAGTAACTGCTATATCTTGAGAGGCAGAAAAATCTCCAGAGACTAAAGTTTAGAAGGTGACAGAAAATCAAAACCATATGCAGTTTTTCTAGGAAAACCAGATAGATGGCAAACGTTATGGCATTTATTGTCAGTGCTGTCCATGTCTTCTGTTTGAGAGCATTTATTCTTCCCTTCAAGGAGAAAAACAAGTTTTCTTCCTAAACAAGCTCATGCTATAACTGCCATTCACACAATATGTATAGCAGAATGTTTCCTTCTGGCTTGCATTGCTTAAAAGTGGGGCTGAGCCAAAAATTTCTCGGAAACATTCTTTCTGAGATTTTTCCATTCTGATTCCCCCTAGAAAAAGAAGCCTGCTTTGCAGAATTTAATATTCTCCACAATATTCACCACCTTTCTGTGGCCCCCACACAGTGTCCCATAATATTCCAGCTTTCCGGTGTCGGGTAGAACTGAAGGCAGTTGAACTGAATTGTCTTACACCATACTGGGCTGTATCAGTGGCGCAGAAATAAGAGTGGGGAAACACTCTGGTTTCCTCCATATGCTTCCAGGCTTGGGGCTGGGGAAGAAAACTGTTTTAGAAGAGGAGGGTGATTTATGCACACTCTTGACAGGGATGCCTCTTGAATGTGACTCAATTTCTCTGCACTTTCTGGGTATGGTGAGGGAACAAGACAGGTCAGGAACCAACAGCTTCCTGACACATCTCCTATATGGCCCTACCAATATCATAGCTCTGACATTAGTTAGGCCAGGGTGATCAAGGAGCCTGAGATGGGGAGAGAGATTCTGACATCAGATCTCATTCTTCAGAATCCAAGCCCTGTTTCCAGCGTCAGAGGGACAGATCTGATCTATCCCATTGCCCCATGTGACAATTTTTTGTTTTGTTTATTATCCATCATAGATACCAGTGGGGGGGGGGGAATGCTTTTCAGTAGACAGTTTGGCTGTTGTTATCATTTGGAATGTGGAGAGCCATGCAAAGATGAGATAATTATGAGGACAGTCAATGACCTACAGAGTGCCTGGCCTGCATTTAATAGTGTGCTGGCAGTGTGGGAACAGAGCAAATAGAGGGCAGAGAAAGGAGGGCAGTGAAAGGACAAAGCCAACATTTCACTGGGTTAAGCAGGCCATGACTTTATTGCATCAGCTTCCAGATTCTTTGGCACTGCATGTCCATGGGCTACTCCAATGTTATAGACTGCCAGTGGTACCTTCAGCTTGAGGAGCATGTTAAGGAAGACTGATGGAGATTTTTTAAAATAAAAACAAACATGGCAGACACTGTGAGATGCTTCTCCTGTCTGTCCAGTGCCACCACTGACCTGGATCTGTGGCTGATCGCCAGCTGTTCCCTTGAAGCTTCTCAAATGGCACACACATTTGGTCCTATTGGAGAAGCTATTAAAAAAGAAGAAAAGTTCTGTACTTCCCTCTCCCACCCCTTTGAAACTGTACAGATTCCCTGGGTTTGCTAAATACAATCTTGATGGAGAGTGATTGGTGGAAACAATACCCCGCCACACACACACCTTTTATGAATGGGAGTGTATCTAGTGATGAGGAATTCATCTTTACACCACAAGGTGTATTACAAGGACCAATAGCCATTTGATGTAGCTAAGATGCATCTAATGTAAAATGTGTTGAATGAAATGTGACACTGTGCAGCAAATTAAGCTGTGTCTCTCAGAACAAGCAATATCACTGAAGCTTAAGAGGATTGTAAAGGGATTAGGCAGTTACATAGATGATGAGAACATCTACTGCTTCATTTGGCAGATTAAGGGATGCTGGTGAGTTGCTGTTTTGGGTTAAAATATAAAGTCTCCATCTAAATAAAACCTGAAGGTAAGCTCTATATTAGCAACTCTACCCAACAGGTTAATGTGATATATATATAAGCTTATATAGGATTCACATAGGTAAAACAATCAGACGAAAAGCAGAAACAATATAGACAGAAGGAGCCCTGCAAAGTCCAATCATAAAAGCTTCACAATGGTAGAACTTGAAAACATTGAAAGCCTTTCCAGATGTCTGCAGGGTTTTGGCACTGGTGGGTTTCATGGCAAAGCCTTTCCCACAATAGGGTAGTTCCTCCGACACTGATGGGACTGCAACAGAGATGGGCTGTGTAACTGAATCATGCACATTTGTATGGCTAGTATTAAACTACCAAATCTAATCAGTGCAAGGATTTCCTCTTGTGCAATGGGAGTTCCCTCCTCTCATTCCCCGGTGTGCATCATGTGCCCCTCCCCCAATCTGCTCCAGGGTTTTTTGGGGAACCCTAGAACAGATTTTAGGAGGCAAAAAAGGGGGGGAATAGAAGGAAGGAGAACCTTTTGCTGCACAAGGAGAAATCTACACTGGATTCCACTGTATGTCTTCCATGTGGCAGCATTTCCAGTAAAAGGTAAAGGGACCCCTGACCATTAGATCCAGTCATGGCTGACTCTGGGGTTGCGGCGCTCATCTCGCTTTATTGGCCGAGGGAGCTGGCGTACAAGTGACCAGCATGACTAAGCTGCTTCTGGCGAACCAGAGCAGTGCACGGAAATGCCGTTTACCTTCCTGCGGGAGCGGTACCTATTTATCTACTTGCACTTTGACGTGCTTTCGAACTGCTAGGTTGGCAGGAGCAGAGACTGAACAACGGGAGCTCACCTCGTCGCGGGGATTCGAACCGCCAACCTTCTGATCGGCAAGTCCTAGGCTCTGTGGTTTAACCCACAGCACCACCCGTGTCCCTCAGCATTTCCAGTACCACGTAGCAAAACCACTATTTTTTAATTCTGCCCCTTGTTATCTGGATGATTTTTTCAGAATGAAAAAGCACACGAACAAACATATCTATATGTAAAGCTGAGCGTTTGGGGGCAAAATTCATATATTGCTTTAACTTTAAAACAATATATGTTTTGGCAATTTGGGGGGGGGGATCAGATGTGGTAGATCACTTGTTTCAGTTAGAATACTGATGCTGCTGTCCTACGTACAATTACTTGAGTGTTACGCCTATTGAACTCAGTGGGACTCACTTCTGAGCAGAGATGTAAAGTGTCTGAAGAAGGCTGGGACAGGGCTGGGGACAGTGGAGGAGCTTCAAGCTCCAGTGGGGGTGGGGCGGAGAGCAGGCGTGGCTGGTGCCTGTCCCGGGGGTGTGGCATGCTGCCCGCACCCCTGTTCCTCCGCCAGTGGCTGGGGATTGGGTGTGTGTGAAATAGAAATGTACACTATGCTTCCTTTCTTATTAAACATAAACTTATTTGCTGCTCATGTAATATGAAATGCAACATTTACACTTTACAGAGTAATCCTATGGAGGTGGGGGGAGTTAGTAGCAGAGGAAGTGTCACTTCCGCAGACGTGTTGGGCTTGTGCAAAATGTGATGTATGAGCTATTTACCCTTTTATTCTTTTTCTCTTCTCATGAAGATAGCAGTGCCCTTTGGATTTTAACTTTGCATCTCTCTAGGAATGATTTAAGAATGCTGTAGATTGTCTTAAGAAGATTTCACTCACTCCGAAAGCAAGTAAAAAAATAAATAAATCATGGGAGTGTTTTCCAATTTTTGTTTTTGTAAATGGGGGTGGGGGGTATAATCAGAAGAAGGACAGGAAGGGGATAACTTCCCTCTGATTTCTTGCAGGTTGTTTTTGTGTGTGTGGGGGGGTGTCTACTTCAGAGTAAACATGCCTAGCATGGGACACAAGGCCTAATGTGAGAAGAGGCATACTGTGTGCTCTGTCTACTGCTTTGAAACAGCAAAGCACAAAGAACAGATGCCATCAAATCACACCCTGTGTACACAAATCGAATTAATTGCCTCCATTTAAAATTATTGATCCTTTTCAGATGCATCCTTTCTGACCTATGTTGCGGAGGCATCATTTATTTATATCATACCTTGTTATTCTGCAACCGTAACTTGTTGACTGATGATTACAGTTGTTGAGCTTTATGCCTTCAAAGTCTTCGCAAGTTAAAGATGGGGGCTTACTGTTGTAATTGGCTAACAGTCAAACTTGGTGCCTTTTCAAGTTCCCTTTCCTACCCGCTGAAACTTCTGTAGCTTTCTCTTTGTTTTAATTCTTTTTCTTCTGAACCTTTAAAGTTCCGAATTCTTTCTCTGGTCTCCTTTGTGTTATTATTTTAAAGAATCTATTGCTCTGCCTCCCTCCATGGTGCACTGCATGTTTTCTTTGTATTATGCTTTTCTTCTTCTCCTTTTGTACATTTTGCCTTTTTTGATTTCTGCTGCGTGAAAAACTCTTTTCTACTCCTCTAGACATTTATTGTCTTTTTCAACCCGTTCTTTTGTGGACGGCGTCTAATTAATTTATTACTGGTCTGAAGATTTGCCTCTGATGTCTCCAAAATTTGCTGGGGCAAGACTGAAGGAAGGCATAACGGCCAGCTTCCTTCACACTAGATGTTTGAGAGTAACTGATGAATTATATTCTCAAGCCTACCAGTTCCAAAACTAGAGTGTGGATCCAAGTTCTTTTTACTCCTCAGATGTTATTACGTTATGAAATTCCAAATCAATTTCCAGATCGGCCCCTTGCTGTTAAAAGCTATTGATCAGAAATCATCACTCATGTGTTTGTGAAATACTCCACAATGATCCCTTTTCTTTTGATTCTGACCACTTAATTTAAACCCTGATTTTCTCCTTCTTTCCGGTAACTGAATTGTGCCACATCCTCATCTCTTTAATAGGATATTTGCCCCTCTTTGTCTACCATTTTTAAAGCTGTAAGAACTGTATTAAATCTGTTCGATGGAATCAGTCAATACTGAGCAGATCAGGGTGGTAAAACCGATTACTAAAAAGAAAAAGGGAAATCAATGCAGTGAAGTGCAGTAACTCTCCTGGGCATATTAACCTTAATTGTGATTCTTGTTGGTCCGTTTCTTATACTCTTCCTCTTGTGCTTCAGGGTTCTTCTGCTGGAACAGCATGCTTGTTGATGGCTGTTCTACCTATAAACCACTGGCAGGTTTAATAGGATTTAGATTATTTAAACGATGGAAGTTTTATGGATATGCTTTTATATGTATAAAGTAATGATGTAATACACTTTCCTCCGCTGATTCATGCATTCCAGTAAGATTGCTAGGAGCTAACAACATTCCGAGGTTGCCTTGGAATAAGAAGGCATTATAGAATCAGAGTTAGAAGAAATCGTGGAAGTCATTCATTCCTTCATTGTAGGGGTTTAGACTATTTATTATTAATTTTATGTATCTGCTCTGGCAGGAAGGTAAACGGCATTTCCATGCTCTGCTCTGGTTTCACCTGAAGCGGCTTAGTCATGCTTGCAACATGACCTGGAAAAACTGTCTGCGGACAAACGTTGGCTCCCTCGGCCAGTAAAGCGAGAGGAGTGCTGCAACCCCAGAGTCGTCCGCGACTGGACTTAACTGTCAGGGGTCCTTTACCTTTACCTTTATGTACCATATTTTTTACTCTTTAAGACTCGCTTTTCCCCTCCTAAAAAGTAAGGGGAAATGTGTGTGCGTCTTATGGAGCGAATGCAGGCTGCACAGCTATCCCAGAAGCCAGAACAGTGAGAGGGATTGCTGCTTTCACTGCGCAGTTATCCCTCTTGCTGTTCTGGCTTCTGAGATTCAGAATATTTTTTTTCTTGTTTTCCTCCTCCAAAAATTAGGTGCGTCTTGTGGTCTGGTGCGTCTTATAGAGCGAAAAATACCGCCCTTCATCACAAGATCTCAGGGCTAAAATTAGATGACCCTTTGGGTTCCCTTCCAGTGCTACAATTCTATGAACGCCAACTTCTTGCTCAGTGCACGATTACAATATCGGATGTAACTACAGCATCCCTAAAAGATAGCTCCCCAGCCTCTGCTTAAAGGAGTCTTCCACCTCCAATCTCTTCCACTGTTCAACAGGTCTTAGCTGTAGAAGGTTTCTCCTAATATGCATTCAAAACCTGCTCCCCTGCTATTTCTGTCCGGTGGGCTGTAGTCAACTAGGTTCGACTCAGTTTAGACCCAATGACATTAAAGGACACAAGCTAGTAATGTCTATTCATTTCAGTGGGTCTCACTCACTGAGTGGAACCAACATTGACTACTACTCCACAGTTCTAATCCTGCCCTCTAGGCCCTTGGGAGTGGGGCTTCAAGTTTTACTGGGGAGATATTTTGAAGAATCAGCTAAAAGTGAAAATGACACCTCAAGCTGCTCAAGACCCTCCAAGTGTCTCTATTTTCCAGGGGCAGTCCTGGATTTACAGAAGCTGTCCCAGTTTCTGATTTGATCCCGGAACGTCCCGCTTTTCCTTATTTTCACTGGAGAAATATCAGAGTTTTCTGACCCCTGAGCTATCTGAAGACAGCCCTGTATAGGGAATCTTTTAAAAAATGTAATGCTTTGTTATGTTTTTATATATGTTGGAAGGTGTCCAGAGTGGCTGGGGCAACCCAGTCAGTTGGGTGGGATATAAATAGGAAACTTATGATGATGGTGATGGAATAGAACTCCCCTGAGGGACGCGGGTAGCGCTGTGGGTTAAACCACAGAGCCTAGGACTTGCCGATCAGAAGGTTGGCGGTTTGAATCCCCGTGACGGGGTGAGCTCCTGTTGTTCGGTCCCTGCTCCTGCCAACCTAGCAGTTTGAAAGCACGTCAAAGTGCAAATAGATAAATAGGTACCGCTCCGGCGGGAAGGTAAACGGCGTTTCCGTGCGCTGCTCTGGTTCGCCAGAAGCGGCTTAGTCATGATGGCCACATGACCTGGAAGCTGTACACTGGCTCCCTCAGCCAATAAAGTGAGATGAGCGCCGCAACCCCAGGGTCGGCCACGACTGGACCTAATGGTCAGGGGCCCCTTTACCTTACCTATTTTCATCATAGAAATGTTGGAAGGTATATGAATCTACAGGAATCGCATTCAGGTTGATTAATTTGAATTTTTTTTGTCTCTCTTCAGCTAAAGAAGAAGAAGCAGCCTCCTAGGGCAGCCTTATGTTAGTTCCCAGAGCTAGCACAAAATGCTAGCAGTACTAGCAGTATTATTTGTGCCAACCGAGGGAACTGTTATGTACCAAAGTTCTCACCCTGGGCCAGCAGAGGAATACTGTAGATAGTTTTCCCTCAGGTCCGCATATGCAAATAAGGAATTGAAAGTGACGTTCAGTGATTGGATAGTTACAGAAAGTTGTTACTGTTGTTTTGTCGTGGAGCTCTATATAAGCAGGTTGGTTGAACCCTTCGGTCAGTTCTGTTCTGGCCTGTGAATAAACAAGAGCTGTTTGAAGAATTGCTGTGTCGTCTGATATGTTCACCCACAACTTAACAGGAACTACACATACGCCTTTTGAACTTCGGCATGGAAGAGTACCTAACATGTCCCACATAGGTGTGTTTGACACAGGATTGGCAACAGCAGCAGAGGCTGGGGGGGGGGCAGCAGCTGAATAAGCCCAAGAACATTGAGATTGTTGCATTTCTGCCTTGAACATCACTTGCCAGAAGAGCTGCGCAGAGATGTAGCTTAATAACTAATAAGTTAAAGTACACCACTGTTGTAGGTATTTCAACTAGATCAGGGTTCTCCTGTATGATGGATGTATATGTGTGTTTTAATGAACTGAAGAGACTGAACAGAATGAAAGATTCCATTGTCTTCCAAGACAGGCAGATGCCAGCAAGCCAGCTATATGCCAGCTAGTCTTGTGCTTTATGCTCACGAGCAGGCTAGCTGTGCTATGTGCTATGTCTTGCTTCATTCTTGCAGAGTAGCCTGTTAGGAGCTCATCCTACACTCGAATAGGACCCTGGTAGAGACACAAGCCCGACTGGCATGTTCTCTCCCTCCTGGCCAATCGTTCGGGAACTTCAAAAGCTTTCTTCTGCCAACAGACATCGGCACACTTAGGGATCCGCAGAGTCTTCGCAGTTGCGTAACAGACCTCAGCAACTCAGCATTTTGGCTAATCTACTTTATTTACATATAAACACATATGGAACACTGCAACATGGTTCCATCTCTCTCTAGCATCAGACAGCAAAGAGAAAAAGAACAAAGGACAAAAGTCCCACTTCACGGAACACAGTAACACAAACATCCTGTCTCCATCACTTCCCACTCTGTGGAGTCAAAACATATACCATCATGTGATAGACAACAATCCCCATGACTGCAATCAAGGAGCAGGAATTCTAACATCGCCTTCCCACAAAAGGGTGTTTATTGCCTCAGAATCACAAAGAACGGCTGTACTTTTGCAAAACAGCCTCTAATCTAGAAATATATTATTCCATCTTCAGAAAGCAGGAGAGAATTCTGGGAAATTTCTTCACATGAATTTACTGGATGTGATATTCCATCCAGGAGAAATGGTTTGGGGGCTCGTGTGTGTGTGTGTGTGTGTGTGTGTGTGTGTTTAAAGAAATAACTGCCTCACATAAAAAATGGCAGTGCAGCGGTAAGGATTTGCTTCTGAAGACATGCCTACTGAAGTATCAAATGTGTTTGAGGTTCCCGCCCCCGCCATATAAACACAGCCCATATTAGATCCACATTGTGATTGATAACTTTGCTACCAGAAGCATCTGTAAAGTGTATATGTGTTTATAAATGAGTTAATGGTGCTCAAGTTTACCTTGGGAAAACCAGTGTGGGAACTTTTTAGTACCTGCAAATTATCACCTTGTTCTTTAGCATAATTAACACTTCTAGTTGCAGAATAATTAAAATGTCCATCAATTCAGAAACAGCAAAACAGTTTCGGAGGTGAGAAAACTAAACAACTGAGCACATCAAGCCTCTGGGTTTCTTATGTCTTATCATTTAAGCGCATAGAGTACAATTTGCAGTATTTCAGTCCTGGCACCAGGAAAAATAAAAACTTATGGGGAGAGTAATGAAGGGAGGAAAGCTGATTTTAAACTGATGAGCTCTCTTGTATATCAAATCTTCTAAATCAGAAACTTTTCTATATTTCACCTCAATCCTTGGCATATTTACATCCAAGTAATTTATTTGTCTACATGTAAGCATCTCTGTAGATGTCATTAAAATTCTAAATAAAAATTGTGTATACTTTCTGATAAGACTGCAAGAACTAGTTTATATAATTGAATCGAACTTTAAGAGTGCAATCCTATATTCACTTTCCTAGAATAATTCACATTAAACTTCTGGGATTTGCTTCTAAGTAGACATGTATAGACGCTCTCAGATCTCTCTCTCTCTTTTCTTTTTTAGCTGAAACTCACTGGAACTCAGTTTCAGCACCTCTCAGGTGGGCACCATTGCCATTCAAAGAGAACGAGGAAGGTGTTCATGGTGAGTTCCAACACCTCTTTTTCTAAAAAAATGGCACTGGGTGCTTTCAACTGAAACCCATGCGCTCTCTCTCTCTCTTTCTCTCTCTCTCTCTGACAGCCTTCATTTTTGAATTTTGTTGTAAACCTCCAGGTCAGGGTTGTGTCGAAGCACTTCTGGCTGTGACAGGCCACATTTCAACAGTCGGTGGGTAGTCAAGGGTAAAAGTGGGTAAGCCAAACCATCACCTTTTGTCAATGGATGTCAGGCTATGGCTGCAAAGGAATGACTGGGAGTGATCTCCCTATTTTTCCTTTGTAGTAGCAGATTTAACTTCATGCACCTGACATCCTATGACATCAGGTGATTGAAGGCTTGACCAAAACAGTCTCATGGACCAAAATAAGCCCAAGGTTCCCCCCGCCCCCAGTATTGATACCAGTATTGATGCAAAGAGGAAAAAGCAAGAGATGGGGGAAGAGAAAGGGGGATAATGTGCATTGAAAATGTGAAGAAAAATGCACTCATACATAAGACTGTGTCCTTTGAATCTATATTCGGTCTTACATAACTAAATAAGCAATGTACTAGTGAAGCACATTTTTCTATTCCTAATTGCTATAAACGTAGGGAAGCCCAAGAATGTGTTGAATGGTTTCTTTAAATGTAAAGGTTCATCACTGTTCCACCCGATGTGTATGTCTTTAAGGGGCCAGAGCAAGGGCCAGAGCAAGATAACGAGACCCAGCTTTACAGCTGTGAAACATAGCAGGTGCTGCTGAGTTGTATTGATTAAGCTGTGTCAGCATTTGGGTGTAGTATA